GGAGAAAGACAAGTACCAAATGATTTCACTCATCCGTGGAGTATAAGAACAAAGAAAAACTGAAGGAAGAAAACAGCAGCAGAATCACAGAAGTCAAGAATGGACTAACAGTTACTAAAGGGAAAGGGACCGGGGAGGATGGGTGGGGAGGGAGGGATAAGGGGGAAAAGGGGCATTACTATTAGCACGTATAATGTAGGGGGGGGGCACGGGGAAGGCAGTACAACACAGAGAAGACAAGTAGTGACTCTATAGCATCTTACTACACTGATGGACAGTGACTGTAATGGGGTATATGGGGGGGATCTGTTGATGGGGGAGTCTAGTAACCATAATATTGTTCAAGTAATTGTACATTAATGATATAAAAAAAATCAGCTCAAAATCAGCAATCAGAATTAAAAAAAAAAAAATGAAAGTCGACTGTGAGATGTCTGCTCCTTCCCGACAAGACTCAAAGTCACACCCAGGTTTCCCAGCTATAAGTCCAGGAAGAGGAAATCCTGGTGCAAAATACCTCTAAAAATCGAAATCAGTCAAAGAGAGAAATAAAGTTTAAAATCCGTTCATTGCTCACAAACTGCAGTCTGGGGCTGTTTCTCTTTCCTGCTCCAGCAGAAGCCAAAACCTGGCCACTGCCTTACCTCTCAGGTACAGATAAGCCCTCCATGCCCAGGTAATTACCCACTGATATGGAGATGGACTTCTCTCCACCCCTGTGAATGATGCAAATGCAGTAAAATCATACTTCTTTCCACCTCTGAACGCCTACTGATATGCAGATGTACTAAAGCCAGACTAGATATTCTGGAAATGTTCAAATTTTACCCATATCAGCTGTTTGACAGTTCTCATTTTGTCAGGCATAAACCTGCTTAGAGGAGGAGGAACGCAGGGAGGCAAGAATCTCAAAGGGGGCGAGGCCAGGAGAGCTTAGAACAGGTTCAGACGCCTCAAGGAGGCTCCCAGGTGGAAATAAGGAGGGATCACCGCTGAAGGACGACTCCGGGCCCACGAAGGGACGAGGCTCCTCGCCTGTGACGGAGGCTGCTGCCTTCCAGGAGGGAGATCAGAGAGCCTTCTCTGGGGAACTCACATTAAAGGAGAGGCCTTGGGACTGAAAATTAGGGCCCCAAAGAGAGGCCTCGACAAAAAAATGCAGCTGAGCAGCCCCTTGGCTGCTGGTCAACCCCCAGTGCCTGCATCAAGAAGAGGACAGGAAACCAGAAAAACGGAAAGTGGGAGAGACGAGAGAGAAGAAAGGGCTGAAACACTAAGAGCCTGTCAGCCAGAAGCTGTTGTTCAAAAGCAAGCAGAAAAGACCCCTTGTCAATCAAGACCAGGACAGCAAAAGCAAAAATCTCAGTGGGCCTCCAGCTTCAGCCTGAGGGCAGTCGGGCTCCCAGGAAGCCCTGACTCTGATGGGACCATGCCACAAGCAGCAAGGGGAGCCCAAGGTGGGTGGGCTCCTCCAGGTCCTGCTTCAAGTCACACCCCGCAGGCAGGCGATGCCTGGGAGAAAAGCTTCCACAATTGAGGTCTGAGGACCTTTGCCGATGAAGATCAACTGACAAGGATCAAAGATCAAAGATCAGCCCACTGGGGAGGAACAGCTGCCTGGTGCTCCAGGGGAGGGGCAGACAGAGCCCTACAGCAGAGCCCAGGCGCTCAGCTGGACCGGGCACAGCCATGAGGACAAGCAAGCCACAGGTCCGTCAGGAAGAGACACCTGGGATGCAAAGGGGGTGTCTGGAGATGAAACACAGTGGCTAAAATAACACGGCACATCTGCACTGTCTCAAACCACTTCTCTACAAGATGTTAACTAATTACAAGGGGGAAAAGCCCAAGTTCACCTAGGTTTACTGGCAGAATGCCGCCCCAAATAAGTGATTGGAGCTGAAGTGCCAGAAATGTGACACAGACACGCTTTTCCAGCCTGATGCACCACTGAGGTTTTCCTGCCACAATGCATGACCACAAATCTAATCGTGAGAAAATGTCTGGCAAATCTAAAAGTATGCAGGTCACAGAAGCTGAGGCCCGGAGGAGACCCAAGGGACATGGCCGGCCACTAATGTGTGGGGCCACACACCAGAGAAGGGACCCGAGGCTGGATACCGTCTGCAGACTGGGTAACGGTTCTGTGTTGACACTCAGGTAGGAAACAACACTGCCACATGACCGCACCAAGTCGTACTAAGATCACATGAGATGTCAGCATCAGCATCCAAGGTCCGGATCAGAGGAACCCGTGCACTACCAGTGGAGCCCTCACGGAGTAGCGCGGTGGTCATGGAGGGCAAACACCCCCCCCACGCGCCAGCGGCTCCACCCAGAGGTCATCCTGCCCAAGCCCACTGCAAGGAGCACATGATGGAGCCCAGAGCAGGACCGCCCTTGTCACAACAGCTGCGGAAACGCAGCTGCCAATCCACAGAAGAACCAACACGAATGGTGGGATTTTCACACAGTACAATGCTGGACGGCAGCAAGAATGAGCGACATACTGAGCTGAGTGACACACGGGTCTTCTCAGCACGCATGATGGTTGATCTGATGAAACCAACATTTATCATCGGTAATTAACCTGGACTTAAATACTGAACAGAACACCCACTCCAGGCTGCAAAGAAGACCCTTGGAGGCTGTGCTGAGCTTAGACGGCCCTACTCACCAGCGTCCTGGCTGGGATCACAGCGGCCTCCCAGACTCTGACTCGTGTTTCCACAGCCCATTCTTCATTCTTGGCCCATGTGATTCAAGTGGCTTTCAGCAAAAAGCAACTTTTATCCTGCAAAAGAGTCAAGTTCAGCAGCCCTAATCTGACAATAAAACCTGACGTCAAGAGCCAACAGCTGGCCTCACCCATTTGCCCGGAAACAAGGCTGAGTGTGCTGGTCATGGGGCACATGGAACACTGGCTACACCCCAGGTCACTGGTGATGACGGTCTGAGCTACAACCCTCTCAGATTCAGCACAGGACTAAACCACAGCCTTTTCTGCCCAGCATGGAGTAGGTGGCTAATAAGCTACCTTTGCTGGGCCAGGGACGGGCTCAACCATTCTGCTGCCTGGAGCTGTTCTTGGCATGCACATACGTAGGACTAAATGGAAGCCAGGTGCTTTGAAATGTAGTGACACTTTGCAAGAAACAAACCTGTGACATCTTTACTAGTTTGAGTGCCGCACCACGTGACATGGCCCAAGCTGGGGTCCAGCCTCTGACAGACCTCAAGGTGAGGGCCTCGGGGCCAGCTGGGAAAGTGCCAGGGCTCTAAAACAGAGACAAAAGCCATGGGTGCTGCCAGTGCCACCTTGGCACCTTCCCCACTGAGGTAAAGCTCACCTGGAGGTTAGTAAAAATAAAGATGCCAATTTTCCCTCATCAGTTTTGCAGACCCCTCAATTCTAGGACCCACTGGCCCCAGGTCAAGAACCCCTGATTTAGAACAAACTCGAGATGTTCTCAAACACTTGATGAGGAAATCTAGATTGTTTCACACTGTCAGCAGGGTATTTTAGATACAATGTACGAAAAACATACACATTTTATACACTGTAATTCAGAAATTCCACCTCTAGGAATTTATCCAAAGAAGCAATCCAACAAAGGGTCTTATGTAGCTTTGTTCTTAAGAGGGAGAAGCTGCACAGTATCCAAGTGTCCAGCAAAGAGTTTGTAATGTTAGGCAGGAAAATAGATATGAGTGAGGTGGGACGAGAAAAAGGCCAGGAAAGCCCACTAAAAAGACCAAGTTAATCAGTTAAAGCTCAAAAAGTCAAGAATAACTTAGCCTGGAGTGTTTGAATATTCCCCAGATAAAGGAAGGTACCTCAGCACAGCCCATGTCTTTTTTGTGTTAATCATACAGGCCCAGCTTATTTTTTAACTTTACCTATATGCTGTTTTTTTTCTCCTTCTGGCCCAAATCAAGTAGTTTGTAACCTAGGCAACTAATTTAGCATGCAGGCCCAGCCTTAAACTACATAGTAATAGGCAGAAAGGAATCCATCTTAAAGATTGTATTTTAATACCCAGGAAGTTAAGAAGTAAGATTCTTAACTTACTCTTTAGCAAACAGACAATAACTCAGCCCACCTTGGGAGCTGGGCAGGCGGCCTGTTTGACATGCTGCCAGACCAAGATTGCTGGTGTCTATCCCAGGGAAATCAGAGCAGGAAGTTCCTTAAGTTAATTCTAAGTATTCAAAGACCACTTAAATCTGCAACCCCAGCCCTTAGTCACATTTCTGAAGAGTCCTTACAAGGGAGAACCCCCAACCTTTCGGGGCGCTCCTCTGAGGTCACCCACACTTTCTAAGTGTGTAACCTTTTAATCTTAAACTTTCTCTTTCCAAACCTTTCAGGGTGCCTCTCCTTGCTGAGGTGGCCTGTACTTTCTCTCTCCTTAAGTAACTTTAAATAAAACAACTTCTCTGCTTCCCTGTGTCTCTGCCCTTCAATTCTTTGTCGCAGTAGAGACAAGGACCAAGGAAAATACACACGTTCCCCCAACAGTAATACACTCTGGAGCAGGTGGTCACATAATGGGACACTGAGAGCATTACCAAGGTAACACACTGTAGTCAAGTCATACAGGTTTGGACAAAAAGTTTGTCACAGATCGAGCGCAGTCACAGGGCCTCAGTACAGTACGTTCTGACCCAGAGTACAAACGGTTCAGAAGAACGGACACCAAGTTACCAACTGTGCTCAGCTCTGGGAAGTGGAATAGAAAATCTGGTAAAATGACATTTTTTTCCCTTCTCTCCGTTTTCTAATTTGTCTACATTGAAAATGAATTTCCTTAATGTTAAAGCCTTCTTATTTTCTTTCTCACCATCCCTTTACATTGTTTAAAACTGTTTCATTCTATGTTTCTTGCAAGTTTAACTATCTTTGATAAAGTATATCACACTCCACTAAAAAACAGTAAATTCTGAAAAGCCACTGAACAAAGATTCCATCTCTAAATAGAAGCATGTGTTTTTTATTTATGTCAAGATGGACAATGTGTTCAAGGCCTCAGAGCACGCCAGAAATTACCTGGCTAATCTACGGGGCCCACGAACCATCTGACCGCTGGAGGAAAGCGCTGGGACCCACTGGGCATTTTCAACCCGACTTACAAAATAATAGTCGGCTGGAACTAGCGCTCGGCAGGACGTCAGCCATTACATAATTCCGTTTTCTAACATCCTGGGCAGAAAAAAGGCCAAGCACAATGAATCCGTGGGCCAACTTGCCAGGCTCCCGCAGATGAGGGGCTTCACTAGTTCCTTCCCGGACGGCGGCCCCTGCGGTCCAGGGCCACGGCCGCCGCCGGGACGCCCCGGTCCGGGGCAAAAGCCAAGAAGCCCCAGACAGCGGACCCCGCCCCGCCGCCGCGCGTGGAGCAACCGCGGCGGCCTCTCGAGGGCGGGCTGCCCGGGGATGCGGCCGAAACCCTGGCGTCAGTTCACAAGGCGTCGCGGCTACGCGGCCCCGGACCCGGGAGCGACCCGGACCCCGCCCGCCCCGCGCCTCGGGGGCTCCACCCACCGGCCGGTGCAGGTCCCCGCGCCGTCGGGCCGCTGGCAGCTGCACCCCCGCCCACGTCGGGGCTTAAGGGCGCACGGCTTTGGGGCGGGGGGCGCGCCGCGGGCCGGAGAAGGCAGGCGCCGGGGGCAGCGGGTCCGCGCGAGGCCGAGGCGTGAGGAGGGGCATCCCGGGCGGAGGGCGGGCCGGTAGAGCAGCGCCTCACCGTGGGGCGGCCAGCCTCTCTCCGCCCCCTCGGCGCGAGCAGGCCCGCGACGCGCCCCCCGCACGCGGAAGTGCTCGCAGCCGGCCGGAAGCGAGGCGCGGGAAGTGACGTGCGCGGAGCCGGCCGCAGCTCGCCGCCGGGCTGGGCCCGCTGCCCACTGGCCTGGGCGCCCCTTCCGGGACGCAGCCCCCGGCGCGCCGGGGGAAGCCAGGGACCCGGCTCCCGCGACCGCCCGTCGTCCCAGTCCGAGCCGTACCACCGCGCCACTGGCGGGGGAAGCCGGCTGACGGCGCCACCTCGGCCGCCACATGGTCAGTCCGGACCCCGCCACAAGGCCCGGCAGCGGTGTCCGAGGCAGCCCCCAGCCGCCCTACGGAGGCGCCGCCGGGGAAAGGAAGCACCTGCCCAAACAGGCGGAGGCCGACGGGCGTGGCCGCGGTAGCGGTCTGGGCCACGCCCCTCGAGGAGGCTGATTAGCGGGCTCGTGGGGCCCCGCCCAGGGGCGGGGACTTGCCCCACGTGGGAACCGGACCCGCTCCCCGTGGGTCGCCCCTGGACCCGTCCGGACTTGCCACGCAGTTTTCAGGAGCGAGGGGCCGTCAAACGGGCATTTTTTTTCTTAAAGAATACTTTTTTGGTAGGATTTTCCCTTCTCTTTGCATTGTTTTATTTTTTTATTTCACATTTATTCGTTTGCTCTGTATAAGAAACACTTGAGTGTTTCCGAGTGTGTCATTGTGCTGCAACTAAGATACAAATATTTTTTAAGTCCCTCCCTCTAGGAACAGTTTAATTGGAAAGACGAAAACTGAATAGTAAATATAATTACTTGGAAGATGCATACTTACTGAATGATTTGGCTTGTTCGGATTTCAGGAAGAAAAGAACTGCGCGGCAGTCGTGAAGATTTCAGTCTGTCTTTAGTACTGTTACCTCTCTACACTTCCAGGTCTACATTATCTTATTTCATGAGAATTTTCCTAGTTAGTTCCCTGTTAATCCTCTTCATTGTGGAGGGTGTTGAGTAACTTACATGACAGAACTTATTTACCCTGTAACTGACCCACTTTAAAATTGAAACATAGTTGATAAACAATCATATATTAAAATATATAACGGTGATTCAGTTACCCACATTATTAAATCCTCACCCCTACTAGTGCAGGTACTGTCAGCATAGGAAGATGTTGCAGAACTACTGGCTCTATTCTCCCTGCTGCGCTACCATCCCTGTGACCAGCTAATACTGTGATTTAGAATTTTTGTATTCCCTTTTCTCCCTCCTTCATGGTAACAACCAGTCACTTCTCACTGTCTGTGAGTATGCTGCTATTTTGTTTGTTTTGTTTTTTTAGATTCCACAAATAACTGAAATCATGTGGTATTTGTCTTTCTCCTCCTGGCTTATTTCACTGAGCATAACACTGTTGTTGCAAATGACAGATTTCTTTTTTATGGCTGAATGATATTCCACTGTGTATATGTACCACCTGTTCTTAATCCATTCATCTATTGATAGACACAGGTTGCTTCCACAACTTGGCTATTGTAAATAATGCAGCAATAAACATAGGGGTGCATATATCTTTTCAAATCGGGGTTTTGTTTTCTTGGGGTAAATTACTAGAAGTGGAATTTCTAGTGTGAGAAACACATTCACTGGTCCAAATTCAGTAAGTGGACACGGAGACAAAGAGAACAGCAGAGCGAGGCCTTAATGACAGTCTTGCAAGATCAGGTGTCTGGTGGGCAGGCACACCTGGGGAGTTTGGCGCCAATAATTTATCTCCTAGTGCGTGCATCCCTCCCCTGGTTTCTCATTGGATGAGTACCACAGGGTTCACACTCTTCCCGGGATGTTGCCTAAACCAGTTATATCTTTCCTTTACATTTGTCTTAATCTTATTGGTAGGTTTAAAAAACTCAAACAGGTATTGCCAGGCCCTTATCAATTCCCCCACCCCCACTCTCAGCCCGAGCAGCTTCCACCACGTGGCCCTTTGTTAATACCTTACTCTTAAAATGTTTAAACATCCTAGTGGGAATAAATCACTTTTAGGTTTTATACTCTTTCCTAACAACTGGGTCATATGGTATTTCTATTTTCAATTTTTTGAGGACCCTTCATACTTCTCCACAGTGGCTGCATCTATTGACATTCCCACCAGCAGTTAGGAGGGTTCCATTTCTCCACATCCTCGCCAACACTTGTTATTTCTTGTTTGGATAGTAGCCATTCTGACTGGTATGAGATGATATCTCACTGTGGTTTTGATTTGTATTCCATGACGATTAGCAATGTGGAGCATCTTTTTATGTGCCTGTTGACCACTTGTATTTCTTCTTTGGAAAAATGTCTGTTCAGGTCTTTTGCCCATTTTTTAATTTTTTAATTGGGTTATTTGTTTCTTGGTGTTGAGCCGTTGTAGTTCTTTATATATTTTGATGTTAACCCCTTATCAGATAAATCATTTACAAATATATTCTCCCTTACTGTATGGTGCCTTTTTTTAAAAGGGATCATTGATATACACTCTTATGAAGGTTTCACAAGAAAAACAATGTTTGGTTACTACATTTACCCACAATATCACGTTATCACCCACACCCCACTGCAGTCACTGCCCATCAGTGTAGTAAAAGGGCACAGATTCACTGCCTTCTGTGTGCTACACTGTCTTCCCTGTGACCCTCCACACCATGTGCACCAATCATGATACCCCTCAATCCCCTTCTCCCTTCCCCCCCACGCTTCCCCTTTGGTAACCACTAGTCCCTTCTTGGAGTCTGAGTCTGCTGCTATTTTGTTCCTTCAGTTTTGCTTCAATGTTATACGCCACAAATGAGGGAAATCATTTGGTATTTGTCTTTCTCTGCCTAATTTATTTCACTGAGCATAATACCCTCTAGCTCCATCCATGTTGTTGCAAATGTTAGGATTTGTCTCTTTTTTATGGCTGAATAATATTCCATTGTGTATATGTACCACCTCTTCTTTATCCATTCACCTACTGATGGACACTTAGGGTGCTTCCGTATCTTGGCTATTGTAAATAGTGCTGCAATAAACATAGGGGTGCATCTGTCTTTTTGAATATCAGATCTTGTTTCCTTTGGGTAAATTCCTAGGAGTAGAATTCCTGGGTCAAATGGTATTTCTATTTTTATTTTTTTGAGGAACCTCCATACTGCTTTCCACAATGGTTGAACTAGCTTACATTCCCACCAGCAGTGTAGGAGGGCTCCCCTTTCTCGCATCCTTGCCAGCATTTGTTGTTCTTAGTCTTTTCGATGTTGGCCATCCTAACAGGTGTGAGGTGATGTCTCCTTGTGGTTTTAATTTGCATTTCCCTGATAATTAGCTACGTGGAGCATCTTTTCATGTGCCTGTTGGCCATCTGAATTTCTTTGGAGAAGTGTCTGTTCAGATGCTCCACTCACCCCCACCTCCCTCCAGGACATCTGGCATCTGCTGACCCCCAGGGCCTGACCAGCTGGCCGTCTCTTTCCAACAATGCTCTCCTTTGGGTCTGGATGATGTTTAAAGGATGACTTTCCAGAAGGCAGGAAGGTGGGTTCTGCTCTGCCCCTGCACGTCCCTCCCAGACCCTGGGCTTCTCTCTGTCCCCCTCATTCTAGATCCTCACCCTCCTCTCACCAGGCTCAGTCTGGGTCTGGGCCCTGTTCTGACAGTCATCACTCCAGGTGAGTGGGACGATGAGCCCCGGTTCCCAGGTGTGGGGAAAATGGCAGTATTTCCAGAATCTCTCTCCTGGCTTTAGTCCATCTGCATGTCAATAGGTGTTTCAAGGGGTGGAGGAAGGCATTGTCTACCTATCAACAGGTAATTGCTAGGGCGTGCGGGGGTTTATCTGGACGGGAGAGGTTGGGTGAAGCTCTCTGCTGCTGCAGCCTGGTCGAGAGAGATCGTATGACTGCCTGTAAGAAACAAATGGATTTCTTAAACTTTATTTCTCCTTTTGACTGATTTCAGTTTCAGAGTTATTTTGTCCCAGGATTTCCCCCCAGAGTTACACCAGGGAACAGTGAGGACAGACAGAGGTGTGGACAGGGGCCCAGGGGCTCGCAAAGCCCCGAAACAAGAGTCTGGGTGCTGGCACAGCAGGTGGGAAGAAGGGTGGAGGGTGCCCTGGCCTTTATCAGCAGATCCCTCGCCGATGTCGCCAGGAAGCACCAGCCACGAGCTGGTGTGGAACAGCCTCCACCCCCAAACCGGGGCTTCAAGCCGTCCCTAGCAGCCCTTTGGGGTCCCCACCCTCACGCCCTGCAGTGACCCCTGCCCTGGGCTGACTCCATTTCATCCCCCACCTTGGCCTGATCCTGGATAATGCAGCCTCTGTCCCTGGGGGCGTCCCTGGGCTCCATGAGGGCTTCAGGGGGGCAGGGGGGCAACACCCACAGCTGGCCCAAGGTCAGAACCGCAGGGTAGGGGACACATGTCCTCTCCGTGCTCACAGGAAGCCCCCTCTGCTCCAGGGGGCTGTTCTCCACCGGAGGCCCCGGTGGGGAAGGCAAAGCAGGTGGGCACTCCGGCCATGGGGTTCTCTTCCATCCGCCCCTTGCCCTGTCCCCATGCCCTACCTCATCTCTTCCCACCAGACCATTTCCAGATTCTGAAGGTGTTCCGGGCTCTGGCCTGGATCCTGGGTGGAAGGGCCACCCTCCTCCGCAGCGTGGTTCTCCAGGTCCCGGCTCCTCCCACTCCCCACCCACCCTCTGGCCTCAGCTCGCCCCCAGCCCTGAGTTCCCGCAGTTCCGTACCCACGCCTGTCTTCCCTGCAGTTAGTCCCCACCCAGCCCAGGCAGACTCCCTGGGTCCTGTGTGGCATGTGGGAACCCAGCAGGGCAGGCCTGGTGGCAAGGCCAGGGGAGGGCTGCTTGTTGCCCTTCGGCTCCAGACAGGAGGCTGGCGCAGGCGTGGCTCCCAGCAGAGGGGTTCTAGCCTGGTTGCTGCAAGGACACAGCCAGAAAAGGCCAGAAAGGGTTTCCAAGGCCCCTGACCTGAAGATGGGAAGCCCACAGTCATGCCCCACCACACAGAGGACCTCTGGGACTCCGGCCACGACGACCCCTGTGGCTCAGAGGTCGTGCTGGGTATTGGCCATGACCACCGGTGGGCCGGCCCTTCTGGCCCAGACCTGGCTGGGTCTGGCTCCTGCCCTCAAAGAAGCCCTGGATGACAGGGTGTGTGCTGTCAACTGTCATCCCCCAAACATGGCCGTCGGCAAGTGGCCCGCAGTGCCTGCACAGCCTGGGTGCAGATACACCTGCCTCCCGGCAGACCAGCCCCGTGGCACAGGGAGGTAGGCCCTTAGGCCCCCCGCTGGAGCCCGTGGGGGCCCTGCTCTAACCACACATCAGCGCTGCATGCCTCCAGGAGGCTGATGTGCCAGGGCTGCCTGAGGACAGGGAGGCCAGGCACAGCTTGTCGTCTTTCCCCAGTGGCCATGGGTGCCATGACCCATGTCCTTTCAGCACCCAGGGCCCCAGGTGGGGTCAGGGCTAGCCATTTGGTTCCTCCTGGGATCCAGCCTTCAGGGCTGTGCCCGTGCGAGTCTGCAGTGCCCACTTGGGCACACGGCCCAGCCTTGTCCCACGTTCACCAAGGCTGGGCCATGATAGAGGCCACAGTAACCAGGCAGAGCAGGGCAGGAGGGGCTGGGCACTCTCGGGCCAGTTGGCCCTCGATGGCCTGGACTGAGTAGGGAGAGGCCTCAGGACCCAGGACTCAAGCCCCTTGGCCCAACCCTGTTTCACTGGTTGCATCCTCTTCCCCCCAACACGGTGACACCCCTTTGGGGGTAGACAGCGAGAACATGGAGGGGGTCATCATGGGGCTGCCTGGGAGGGACCCCACCTCTCATGAGGACTGAGCACATGGCAGGCTGTCCTGTGGACCCCAGAGCACAGCCCACCTCCCTCGGCATGTTTTGGTAACAAAGAACTAAATAAAGTCAATCGGCCCAACTTTTTAAGCAAGTCTAGTTTACTGAAAGGATCTGAAAACAGTAATAAGGCTTCAACAGCACTGAACAAGTGTCCAAGGCATGGACAATATGAAACATTAAGAACCACTTTAAAAATCTCAAGGTCTTCTACAGCGTTCCAACATCACACTGCTTTAGGACTCAGCCAGCACCTGCTTTTTTCTTTCTCTAAACCAGTGACCTGACCTTCGAACGCCACCCTCTTGTGGACCCACAAAGCCAGGAGCTTTGGTCTGCTGCCTTGGGTCAGGCAGGTGTGCGGGCCCCTGTTCTCATATCGGGCCGCCTGCCAGGCCCCACCTCGAGGGGTCCACAGACGCAAGGTACCCAGGCAGGGCAAGCGGAGGGGACAGTGTTTGATAAAGATGTGCTCTGGCTGCAGAGGCGACTCTGTGGAGACCCCGGACACCCTTCTATCAGCCAGAGATGAGGCGCATGGCCCTGCGAGCGGCCAGAGCACAGCCCGTCCCCATCGCTCCAGAAGCAAACCCAAGGCCAGGTGGGCACCCATCTCTTCTGTTCTTACCTATTTAACAGGTAAAAATACAACTCCAAGACATCACTTACCTAAGACAAGGAGCCCCCCTGTATGACGCTATTAGGGGACGGTAGCCAGGGACTGAGGCCACTTGCACTGAGACCCGGCCGCCCGCCCTCCATGGCACATGCCCCCACCAGCTGCAGGGCAGCTCAAACATGGAGTTTCCCTGGGCCCGAGGCCCACGGGGGGAGTTGGGGCAGAACCTACAGAGACCCCCCCTCCCCCGCCCCTGCTCGCCAGGGACCCTCCTGTTACAGCTGCAGGAGCACGGCAGTCCCCTCTCCGCAGGCCAGCCCCACAACGGCTGTCCGGACTGGGCGGGATGGACCCCACGCATGTGCCACACAGCGCAGCGTCCCTGGGGCCCGGCTCTGAGCAGAGCACAAATAATGCCCTCCCTCTGGCGTCCTCAGTGTGTGCAATCAAACCTGTACATAAACACTTCAGAAATGTGAATACAATCTCTAAAAAGATACACAAATTTTAAAATGTCTTCTTGGGGGGCAGAGGATATCACCCCTGTGTCACAAGGAATGTGGTGGGTCTGACTCTGGCTGGCCCTGCCAGGCTCCTCTGCCCGCTGCGGCCCCTGGCTCACCTGGGGAGGGGCAACCGACAGCCACTGGGGCCCAGGCAGGTAGGCGGGCAGCCTCGGGGAGCCTGAGCAGGAGGGGGCAGCCGCATACCTGAAGCCTGCCCGCCTCTGCAGTGCTTCTCACCTGGAAGGGTGTCGTGGGAAGGGCAGGTGACGGGGAATACTGCAGGGGCCAGAGGAAGATTTTTGGCTGAGACATTTATTTTCAATACCCAAGACTAGATTGATCCATTTTGATCCCCTCTGAATTTCAACAGGCTGATTTATGGAAAAGTTTCCCAAGGAATCACAAGGAGCACCCCCGCTCAGTGTCCCAGGCCCCGGGAACAGGCTCTGGCGGCCGCACGCGGTGTCGACTTCAGAGCCCCTCCCTGGGCACCACTCACTCTTCTCATTCAGAAATGCAAAAAAGAAGTCAGATTTAAAATGTTAAAAACGGCGTATCTGGTGCACAAGAGGCAGATTCCCGGCTCTCTGGCTGCAGAGGAAGTGCTGTGGTGGCGTGAGTAGCGCACAGGGCGTGCGACCAACCCTTCACGCACGTGCTCAGGCTGGCCTGGCCCCCGAGGGCGAGTGAGAAGTGGGCAGAGAAGGAAGCTGCAGGGGCAGGTGGCTTTGGGGCGGCCCCTTGCAGCGGGCGCAGGCTAGCCCTCGGCGGGCGCCGCCCCCTCCTCGTCCTCCTCGTCCTCCGGGAAGTGGGCCTGCCTCTTGCGCACATTCCAGTGTAGACACTGGGCCAAGCTCTCGAACCAGTCGCTCACAGGGTCCCGGACGCAGATGGAGGGGAGCGGATAGCAAGAGGTAGTGATGCTGATGCTGAGGTGGGGGGACACAGGGCCCGGTGAGCCCAGGGATTCCCTCCCGCGGGGCCCCCGGTCCTGCCCCAGTCCCCCCCTGGGTAGCTAGCAGGGCCCCAGGGTGGATGTCACCCCAGTGCAGCAGAACGAGGTGCTGGCTGCCCAGTGTGGTCCTGCCTGACCGGGGGTGGGGTGAGGGAACGGGAACCCCTGCTGCTCCCAGGGACAGAGCTCTGCCCACAGGCCTGTGCCTACCCCTGCCCCTCAGCCCTCACACCTGTCTCCATGGCGGATCTCTTGTCTCTTCCGTCCGTCAAAGGACACCCACACAGTGTTCCTTGCTTCTGGTGACAGCATGATCTGAAGGAGTCAAGCAGGACAGGTGAGGCTAAGGTGCGTGCCGCTGAGCACCTTGGCCCTCACAGGAGCATGGCCCTGGCCAGCAGGAGTGTTGGCGGCGTGCACAGCGCCTGCTCTGCGAGGCCGGCCCCAGGCCTGGAAGGTGTTTCCTTCTGTCTCGTGGACATGGGCCCTGGGGACGGAGGATGGCGTCCATCATTCAGGCTGAGAGTGTCGCTGACCATCCCTGATGCTGGGGCTGCAGCCAGAGGCCTCGCTCCAGCCCCATGTTCTCTGCATCCTGCAGATGCAGACCTGCTGGCCAGGGCTCGAGGCCACGGACACACCGGCCCAGGGTTGGCCTGTGGCAGGGAGTGTGACGTAGGGGGAGAAGCAAGCAGCGGGGCCGGCCGCCCAGCCAGGGCCCAGGAGACACAAGGGGCAGGGGCGCTCCTCCCCGCCCACTGCTCACCTGTCTCCATCGAGTGTGAGCTGTGCCCACTCCACGAGGGTGGGGCCCCCTGCCTAAGCGGCTGGCCGACCCCTCAGCACTGCCTCCTGTACCCAGAGTCTTGGCAGCAGGAGCCAAGCGGACAGGAGAGGGGCAGAGCAAGGTGGTCCCCCAGCCAACCTGGGCCAGAGCAGGCACAGGCAACAGTCAGACCAGAAAAGGCAGAGGGGGTGGGCTCTGACCTTCAGCTCGACCCCTGCAGGGACCACGATGGGCCGGAATGACAGTGAGTGGGGACAGATGGGTGTGATCATGACGGCTGGCACGTTGGGGTGGACCATGGAGGCTCCGGCTGCGGCCGCATAGGCCGTGCTGCCCGTTGGGGTGGAGACGATGACCCCTGGTGGATGGCGGACAGGCCACGGTCACTCCTCGCCCCTCCCCCGGACGATGGCCTCTGGCAGGCAAGCCACAGTCCCTCCTCATGCCCCCCCACACACCCCCAAACTGGGATACCAGGGTGCCCGGGCTGGGCACCACCCACCGTCACCCTGCACTGTGGTGATGAGGTGCCCGTCCAGGTAGACGTCCACGTTGGACAGGTATGAGGAGGGGCCTCTGTCGATCACCACCTCATTCAGGACCTGGGGATGGCAAGGCCACCACAGGCTGGAGGGCCGGGTGGCGCTGCCCTGGCCATCTGCCCGCAGGCACCTGAGCCTCCTAAGGATGGGGCTTCCCGGGGCCGGGGTGGGGGGAGCCACCCAAATGCCTGCCCCGGTCCCTCCCTCAGGCAGGCAGGGCAGGCCTGGCACCTGGCAGGAGGCACACCCACAGACCTGGTACTGCACGACCTGCTTCCCGACCTCCGGGCCCACGTCGGCAGCCAGCACCCCATTCCCGCTGACCCCGTTAGGGACGACCGCCTTCCCTCTGAGCTCCTTCACAACCCTGACCTTCAGCCGGCTCCGGAGAGCAATAGCGGCGTTCCCTGGGGACCAGCGGGGTCACAGCAGGGTGTCAGCAGGGATGGGGTGACCCCACGGGAAGAAGAGACCCCCCCCTTCTCCCGAATCGAAGTGGTGCCCCTGTGCCTCCTGTGAGCTCGATCCCCCGCAAATCCACACCCTGGACAAGCTTCTCAAGGGCAGGAAAGTGTATCTGAACCACTCAAAACTCGGAAGTTTCTGAACCTGGGAACACTTAAACGTTGCTCTATGCACTAAAAAACCCCAAACACAGTGAGAAAACAACCCTGTGCTGGGCAGTGCTTATGGGTTCCAGAACATTCCGACTCACCCTCTATCACCTGAGTGACCTGGGACTGAAAGTTCTCAAAGTTGAAGGGGGTCAGGAAGCCCAGGGAGCCCAGGTGGAACGCCATGACCGGAGGCACGCTGCCCTGTGGGGCAACGAGGCAGCTGCTCAGTGGCCGCTCTGCTCGAGCCGCCCCAGCCGTCCCAGCACCTGCTGACCTGGTGGGGACAGGCCTGTGGGAGCCGGCGGGGTAGGGCCACTGCAGACAGCCGCCGACACACAGAGGGGCAGGACCAGGCGGCGGGGCATGGAGCAGCAGGCCACCAGGCTGCCTGAGGGAGACGGCTCCCAGAGACACCGAGTGGGGCGCTGAGCAGGCCCCCACCACGCTCTGCAGGCCCCCTCGCGTGAGGACCGTGGCTCTTGTCCTGTCTCAGCATGAACTGCAGTGAGCCGGACCTGTCCCCAGCTCTCAAGGCAGCCGTGGGCAGTGCAGCATGGCCCCTTCCCCACTAGGCCCCATGCCACCCAGGCTCCACTGCCGACAGCCTCCCACGACGACAGGCACGCCCAGCTGCTCACGGCTCAACACCAGTGAGAACAGATGCATCCTGCTACATCATTTGCAAACTTGCTCCACGGCCAATCTGTCAGCAAGCTCAATCTGTGACTGCGTAACAACCGTAACCCGGCGGCTGGGAGTCCGCCCGGGGAGCACCCCAGAAGCTGGGAGCCTCACCTGGAAGAGTGAGGAGGCGTAGAGCAGGGTCCCGTCTCCTCCCAGACAGATGATGAAATCGATCTGATTGGAGATGTCGTCATAATCTGGGGAGGACCACACACTGGCCGTTACGGCCCCCTCGGCCCTCGCACGGCCACCATAGCTGTGGCGCCCGCACACCCCAGGCCCGTGGCCACCTGCCTTCTCTGAAGGTGCAGAACTTCTTCTTCACGGGCCCGAAGCTGTCATCATGCACGATGGCGGGGTCTTCCAGAACTTTCTTTTCCACATACACGATCATATTGTTCTCCTGGGAAGGAGACCTATAGTCAGCCTGCGGCAGGCCCCAGAGCATCCATGCCCATGGACAGGGTGTGGGGACCGCACGCAGGAGCTGGGCGCGTGGCAGGGAAGCACCTTCCTGGCGTCAGCCGCCTGACTTGCCAGCTCTGTGCGCAGACACGGGAGCACGGGGATCCCCCCACCTTAGGGGGCATCCTGGGCCACTCACCTCCGACAGGTACACACAGAGCTCCTTGAAGGGCTTCAGCAGGCTGCTGTCCCGGATCTTCTTGATGACAAGGACACTCTTCGGGGGCTTGTTCCACGTCAACCGCTGGCTGGCAGGGTCCTGGATGTGCCTTGTTGGGGGGGAACATAACACCAGGGGCATGGGGAGGGCTCCCCTTCTGCTGCACAGCCAGCAGCATCCCCGAGGCCCCGTGACATAGGCCTGCTCCAGAAGAAGCCCAGTCAGCACGGCCCTGAGCCTGGGCACTCAGTCAGGCCCCAGGACTTGGGCGGTGGCACTGCTGCAGACCCTCAAGCACAGCCTTCCCGGATGCCGGGGGCGCAGCCTGGTCCATACCACTGTGTGAACGACCCAGCTGCCCCGTAACTCCAATGGGTATGAACCTCCCTGCCGACAAGTGGGTGGCAGGACCAGGGGACGGAGCAGCTCTGTGTGGCAGTGACGAGCACATGTCATCACACTGTCCAAATCGCACAAGCACGGCTCGATAACCCTCATATGCACGAGGCCCGAGGGGGGACAAGGGCTGCCAGGGGCACCAAGGCACCGCTCTGCAGGGGCGGGGGGGTGAGAGGGCTTCTCTCACCTTCTCCTACATTTTCCTGCAAACCTAAAGAAACTGCTCAAACAACGAAGTCTGATTTTTAAAACGTCTGTAGGAGTCTGTTGCCTGAGGACCGCCCCCCCAGGCTGAACAGGCTGGTGAGGAGGCCTTGGCAAGGTGTCCGCGGGCAGGGCATCCCTCCGGCTAGGGGGAGCCCTGGCTGCGGCCCCACTGCTGTGTGTCACCGGGATGTCCCAGCCGGCCTGGGACGAGGGCAGTGTGGGAGGGCCGCCAAGGCCAGGGCACCTGGACAGGCTCTGCCCCTCAGGTCGTTGGACAGTCTCACCTCAAGCAGCTGGCAGGAGGCTCACCCTTCCCTAGGCAAGTCACCCCAGTCCAAGGCGGGCCTCTGCGGCGGCTTCCCTCGCACTTGCTGGCCCTTCTGGCCACTCTCAAGCCACGACACAGACCACTGACAGAGGCAGCAGGTGCCTGACCTCATCCTCTTACTGACCGACCATCACTCACCCTTTCCAGGTGTTTCTGCAAGGGGAGGGGTCATTCATGACACCCCATGGCCTCCTCATTCTCTGGGTCACATGCGGCTCCTAGCCAGGTGGCAGGTCATGCCCAGGCTTGGCCACGCTTTGCTAAGAGGAGTGTGATGCAAAAGGATCCCCAGGTGTGCCAGCTGTGCGCTGCACCACAGCCTGATTTAGGCATCTCAGAACCAGAAGCAGAACAGCCTGGAGTGGCTCACTTGGGACGCATGAAGCAGCCGGGGCCGGAGAGCTTCCTGAGGCCGAGGCGGTCACGCCTTCTTCGGCTCACAGAACTCTTGCTCTACTTGCCCACTTACAACAAAGCCCTCGGGTCACCTCTACCAGCAGAGGGGCCACACCTGAGATGCCGGTGACACACCCTGGCCGCACGGGAATCCGACACTGGGCTGCGGAACCAGCTGGCCCTGTGGGAGGGGCTCTCAGGTGGAGGGGTGTGCACCCCCCAGGCACGCTGTGGGCCTCGGACGGAGCACTGGTGGCTCAGTCTCTCCGGGGTCCGTGGGAGCCTGACTGCCGGCCGACACCAGTCAATCAGGTTCCCGCTGGGCTGCACACAGTAGCTGGATGGGTGAGCAGGCACCCATCTGAGCCACCGTCTGATAAGCCAAAGGCAACCACACACGGCAATTCCATGTTTTGATGTAAAAACATGTACGTGTTCCCAATGAACTTTCAGACAGTAAGATGGGAAGTGAGATCTCTTAAGCAACCAACCCTTTTCCATCTTCCTTTGGAACATGAGAGGACACAGCAGGGGGGCACATGGCTCTTGCGGTCAGACAAGTCCTGCCGCCAGGTGGTACTGGCTGGAAAGGGCAGAGAGAGCCACTCTCCTGACCCCAACCTGAAGCCCTGGGGATGCCTCTGGGACCTCGCCCTTCTGCCACGGCACCCCACCTGACCTCAGGGGCGGCTCAGATGCCACCCACCCTGAGTCCCCATCTGAGGTTCACAAGGCTGACACGCACACACCGTGGATGGTGGCTGGGTTTGGCTGGGAGCAGGTAATGGCTGAACAAGGCTGGACACCGAGAGGACACACTGGGGGCATTTAGACTGAGACTGTTGACGGGCCAACAGCTCTACCAAGACTGCAAGGAAACGCAGGGAGGAGCCCTCAGGAGGCTGGAGAAAGGCAGCGGCCAGGCCAGCCTGGGACCAAGCAAACAGGAAGGCTGGGCCACGGGGAGGGTGCGGCAGGGCTGGCTGCCAGGGAGGGCTTGGAGCGTCAGCGAGGCTGGGTCCCAGCGGGGCTTCTGTGTAGAGACCTGGTGTGGGGCGCCGGGGGGCTGGCAGATGGCTGGGAGCCCCAGGACAGGACATACCTCCAGGTCTTGCAACGACCCAGTCAGCCACAGACAGTGCTTGGCATGTGCAGAGGCACAGAGGTGCATGATGGGGCAGCCCCGGATCCAGGCGCCATAGCGCCTGTTTGCACACAGCAGCCTGGGTAGCCCGGAGCAGAGCACAGGCACTGTCACTGTCCCTAAGCCTACAGCTGGACCTGGTGCACAGGAGTCACGTTCCATGGCCTATGGTCCTGCCTACTGGGGAGAAAGGCCCTCAGGCTGATGGGAGGAGTGCAGCTGAGCCGAGGCCCCCAGGAGGGGTGGGCCCTGCATGTGGCCTCTGCAGAGCCCTGGGGGTGAGCAGACAGCCTGGAGGCAGGCCAACTGAGCTGTCTGTGGACCATGGCCACGCTGACGTGGAGCACCGTGGAACACTGTACGCTGGGAGGGGCACCAAGGGGCACCAGAGACCTGGCAGAGCGGCTCCGACCGCAGAGCTCCATGTGCCACAAGGCCTGGAAGGCCACACGAGCCGCGCCCCCCAGGCAGGCGGAGCTCCCAACATCACACAGGGCTTGCAACAGCTGGAGCCACGAGGCCCCCCAAACAAGTGACCCCAGATTTTCCGAAAAGCCAGGAGCATTTCTACGTGTGAAGAATAAATAATCAGAGGAGGAACATATCTGACCCACCAAATGTACTGGCATGAAATCCATCAGTTTTCCTCCTACAGTTTTTACTGCCAAACAAAGACCCTCCACGATCAGAGTGGAAGCCCACCACCCAGGAGGAGATCGGCCTCCCTGGGAACGTACTGGAGGCAGTGGCCCACATGGGCCAGGCCGGTGAATGTGGCACCACGGCCCCATCGACAAGCTAGCAGCTCCCTGTGCAACCCCACAGCCACCCCACAAGGAGACTCACATGACAGTCTGGGGGTTCTGCAGCACGCAGGCCTTTGGTCCAAAAGTGGTCACCGGGCACGGCCCGTGCAGAGAGCGGGTCCTCCTGCAGGGAGAGGGTATATAGCAGGTGAGCACCAGGCAGCCAAGGGACACACGTGCACACACAGGCACAGACAGCGCCAGACCCTCAGAAGCACCTCTACTCCGAGGGGCAGGAAGCCCACTTGCCCAGGGCCCATGAGGGCCTCAAGATTCTGCCCTGGTCCCCAGAGCGGCACTTGAGTGCCATGCATGGTGCAGCTGTAGCGGTCAGAGGTCTCAGGGCACATCTGGATGGGCTCCCAGGAGGACTCTACACCCCAGAACGGGGTGCTCCACCTTTGGGGGTGTCCTGGGCACTTGCGTCCGTGCAGTGTCTCTCTAGTCTACTTGGGACCAGGCCTCAGGTCTACATGTAGGAATCGAAACCTGCAAAATCTCAATGATGTACGGACAGAAGCACTCAGCTCAAGCTGTACAGTTGATACGGAAGACACTGAACACCTCAACTTCTCCAAAACTAAAGAGTGACTCAACCATCACTGAGCTACCTAGCAGGCACTGTGGCTGGCATACATCCCAGGGACACAGTGAACCGCCCTGGGGACAAGGCCGGGGGCAAGTTTACCCCATGCACAATGCCAGCCCCTTTCTGCACCAAAAATATGCCAGAAATACTGCTACACTGATGGCCCAATGGAGCTGGCACCTCAACAAAATCTCCAAGTCCCAATACAGACAAACCAGACCTCCTTTGCCTTGTGAAGGGCAGCGACCCTAAGAGGGCCCCTGTGGCTCCCAAGAGTGTGCAGAGGGGTGCCGGCGGGTCTCTGGGGACAGAAGTTCTGGAAAGGCAGCAGGTTTTC